TTGCAAGCTCCCTCTTTTTCCTCCAAACATAACGATGGTCATTATGGCCAAACAGTTCTATTTTTGTTTCATCAGACAAAAGGACATTTCTCCAAAAAGTACGATCTTTGTCCCCATGTGCAGTTGCAAACCGTAGTCTGGCTTTTTTATGGTGGTTTTGGAGCAGTGGCTTCTTACTTGCTGAGCGGCCTTTCAGGTTATGTCGATATAGGACTCGTTTTACTATGGATATAGATACTTTTGTACCTGCTTCCTCCAGCATCTTCACAAGGTCCTTTGCTGTTGTTCTGTGATTGATTTGCACTTTTTGCACCAAAGTACGTTCATCTCTAGGAGACAGAACGCGTCTCCTTCCTGAGCTGTATGACGGCTGCGTGGTCCCATGGTGTTTATACTTGCGTACTATTGTTTGTACAGATGAACGTGGTACCTACAGGTGTTTGGAAATTGCTCCCAAGGATGAATCAGACTTGTGGAGGTCTACACTTTTTTTTCTGAGGTCTTGGCTGATTTCTTTTGATTTTCCCATGATGTCAAGCAAAGAGGCACTGAGTTTGAAGGTAGGCCTTGAAATACATCCACAGGTACACCTCCAATTGACTCAAATGATGTTAATTAGCCTATCAGAAGCTTCTAAAGCCATGACATCATTTTCTGGAATTTTCCAAGCTGTTTAAAGGCACAGTCAACTTAGTGTATGTAAACTTCTGACCCACTGGAATTGTGATACAGTGAATTATAAGTTAAATCATCTGTCTGTAAACAATTGTTGGAAAAATTACTTGTGTCATGCACAAAGTAGATGTCCTAACCGACTTGCCAAAACTATAGTTTGTTAACAAGAAATGTGTGGAGTGGTTGAAAAACAAGTTTTAATGACTCCAACCTAAGTGTATGTAAACTTCCGACTTCAACTGTATCTGAACAAGATTTAAAAAATAAAATACAAAATGTCACACATACAGTAATAGCCACTCAAAGCATGACTGAGGTGCAGTGTGAAGCCTATACCTGCAGACTGACATTTTAAAATCAAGTACATAAAACAGCATTTCAAAAAAACAATGCACCTCCTCTGTCATATACAGTACAAGGGTAAGAAATAGGCTATATTGTGGCTCAACCGTGGTAACTTGTCCATGCAACAAAATCCTACTGGGTATAGGAATACAACGCCAACTATGGATTATACTCAAACATTCAAGATAAAACAAGATTTCATCAAATTGCCATCCCTTTTAAAGATCACATCTTCCCTATTTGAGGTATGTTTTCAGTGTTTGCATATTAAATATTAAAAGTTGTTTCTGGTTACATATTCTTAAGTGTTTTTCAACCAAAAGCCAACATGTTGTTCACACAACAATGTATATCTTGGTAATATATCTCCAACTCAACTTTTGGTAATAACTATAGTTGACAACTTTCGCAAACAAATGGGCGTCTCAAAAAATAATTTTAATATCAAACAACTTCAATAAAGGTAACTTATTTTGCAAATAAGTACTTCTAATAACTGGTGTTGTGCGTATATATATACAGTGGGGGAAAAAAGTATTTAGTCAGCCACCAATTGTGCAAAATTCTCATTTTGTCTGTCATAGTTGACGTGTACCTATGATGAAAATTACAGGCCTCTCTCATCTTTTTAAGTGGGAGAACTTGCACAATTGGTGGCTGACTAAATACTTTTTTCCCCCACTGTGTGTGTGTGTGTGTGTGTGTGTGTGTGTATATATATATATATATATATATATATATATATATATATATATATATATATATATATATATATATAGATATATATATACACACTACCAGTCAAAGGTTTGGACACACCTACTCATTCAAGGGTAATAGTGAAGACATCAAAACTATGAAATAACACAAATGGAATCATGTAGTAACCAAAAAAGTGTTAAACAAATCAAAATATATAAATCAAATAGCCACCCTTTGCCTTGATGACAGCTTTGCACACTCTTGGCATTCTCTCAACCAGCTTCATGAGGTAGTCACCTGGAATGCATTTCAATTAACAGATGTGCCTACTTAAAAGTTAATTTGTGGAATTTCTTTCCTTCTTGATGCGTTTGAGCCAATCAGTTGTGTTGTGACAAGGTAGGGGGGGTATACAGAAGATAGCCCTATTTGGTAAAAGACCAAGTCCATATTATGGCAAGAACAGCTCAAATAAGCAAAGAGAAATGACAGTCCAACATTACTTTAAGACATCAAGGTCAGTCAATACGGAACATTTCAAGAACTTTGAAAGTTGCTTCAAGTGCAGTCGCAAAACCCATCAAGCGCTATGATGAAACTGGCTCTCATGAGGACCACCACAGGAATGGAAGACACAAGAGTTACCTCTGCTGCAGAGGATAAGTTAATTGGAGTTACCAGCCCAAATAAATGCTTCACAGAGTTCAAGTCACAGACACATCCCAACATCAACTGTTCAGAGGGGACTGTGTGAATCAGGCCTTCATGGTCGAATTGCTGCAAAGAAACCACTACTAAAGGACACCAATAAGAAGAAGAGACCTGCTTAGGCCAAGAAACACGAGCAAAGGACATTAGACCGGTGGAAATTTTTCCTTTAGTCCGGAGTCCAAATTTGAGATGAATGGTTCCAACCACCGTGTCTTTGTTAGACGCGGTGTGGGTGAATGGATGATCTCCGCATGTGGAGTTCCCACCGTAAAGCATGGAGGAGGAGGTGTTATGGTGTGGGGGTGTTTTGCTGGTGACACAGTTTTGATTTCTTCACTATTATTCTACAATGTAGAAAATAGTAAAAATAAAGAAAATCCCTTGAATGAGTAGGTGTGTCCAAACTTTTGACTGGTACTATATATATATATATATATATATATATATATATATATATATATATATATATATATATATATATGTGTGTGTATGTTTATATGTATGTTCACCAATATATTACTTAATCCAAAATATGATATATTAATATATTCAGGGCTGCAAAATGTACATCTAAGAAGCAAATTTATTGTTTCTGTGTTAAAGTCCCAGTGCTGTCAAAATACTTTTTTTCCTGTGTTTTATATCATATTGTACAACAGTTGATGAAACTAACACTGTAAAAGTGTGAAAAAATGTGATCTGTGTTATTTCCTGATTGGACCTTCTAATCAGCAGGTTTGCATGGGCGGGAGTTTCGGCTTTCCATGGTGACATGACATCACCATGCGGTAAATTGGTTAATAGACCAATAACAAAGAGAGTTCCAAACCACTCTGCCAATAACAGCTAGTTTTCAGTTTCCCCCTCCCTACTCAAACCATTCCCATACAGTCCTAGCAAAATTCTGGCTTGAGAAATAGCTACTTTTTCCCATTTTAATGGAAATCTATTACAGTAAGGTATTTAATTGAAACCTATAAATGATGTAATATTGATATAAAAACATCTGCATTGGGCCTTTAGGCAAATGCAGTGGCCTAGCATGGCTCAAAACTGTATCAGACCTATTGCTTCAATGTGACCAATACTCTGCCTGATTCTACTTTATGGAAGAGACAGTCATATTCTCCACCCTCTGTATTAAAACCCCATCTGCCACCAAATGCACCTAGAAAAAACAGACTGTGAGATATTAGACGTGAAAAAATCTTAACTGGTTTACTGCATAGCGTTCATATGTGTTGGTGCACATTGCAGGTGCATTACTAAATTGTCATGTGTTATGCCACTAGGCTAGGGGCTATCAAACCTATAGCCCACTAGGCTTTTCATGAACACAACTCATTCATAAATGTAGGATCTAGATCCCATCTACTAAGAGTGTACTTGTTGCCACTGAGTTCATCTTTGAGTATCTGTGCATCAGGAGCAGCAGGAGAATGCAGCACAACTTCACGAAAAGCAGCGACAGATAGGAGTAGTAATAGAACTAGGCACAAAGATATATAGGTTCACCCTGACATTGTGAAAAGGACAATCAAAACAGGAGCTACTACAAAGGTTCTATACATGTGATGTAGTACTGACGTAGTACTACACAGGTACAGTACTATTCATCTGATGTAGTACTACACAGGTATTATGTGATGTAGTAATACTACACAGGTACTATTAATCTGATGCAACGTTAGTACTACACAGGTACTATACATCTGTTGTAGTACTACACAAGTACTATATATCTGATGTTGTTACTACACATGTACTATACATCTGTAGGAGTCTAGAGAGAAAGAGTGACAAGAAAACCAATCCAACCAGAAAAAGGAAGGCTGATCCTGTGGGCAGATGGATACAAACCTAATGTGTTCTGTACAAGCTCTGTCCTCTTCTAAAGTATCACTAGGCAACACTTCCCTACAGTGTAATTACTAATGGAGGGCAATGGAAATGTGTTTCTTTTCAGCTGGTCAAGGCTTTGTGTTAAAAGTCCCCCGAGTGGGATAGTGCAGATACAGTCAGTAAACCATCATCCTTTCATTTCTGTTCCCTCCATTTGACCAGTGGGACTCCATCGACGTCCGTCTGTCCGATCATCTGCCTGTCAGTCCGTCTGTCAGTACCTCCTTTTCCCGAGCTTCCCAGTGTCCGTCATGCAGGTTTTAGGACGAAGCGCTGCAAGATTGGAAACCAAATATGGTTTTGGTTCATTCACAATGAAGTTACAGAGAGATGGAGAGACAAGAGACAAAATTAAGGTGGTTCACACACAAAAATAGACAAAATATCAGAAATTCCAGTTTTTTGTTTTTTAAAATGTATTTTCCCCCCTTTTTTCAGCAAGCAGGGGGGAAATTCACACAGACGTTTTGGTGTCTTTGATATGTTTAAAAGACACTGAAACATTTTGGTTGATAATAGTGTGGAAATTTCATCTCTGAAATACCAATATTAATAATGTAGCTTCTAGTTTAATTTGCTGCTCACTGATTATTGTATTATACCTGGTCTTTTTTAAATGTATATATACTGAACAAAGACATTCTGGCTGAATTGCATTGCCTACCTGGATCAACTGTTTGTTTCTTGTTGTTGTGATGGACTATCTGATTCTCATTGGTCATCTTCACATCTTGGTCCTCCACATAATTGCTGCAAAACAACACAAGGAGGGGAAAACACACCAGTTTCACTTGTGTCTCTGCATAACCTGGCCAGGTATATGAAAGGCTGGAGCATGCGAGCAACACAAAAACTAAGGACGGACTGACTGACGACAACAAAGCTTAACGCGAGCAGGTCCAAGTCTTATGTCTTACAATGAAGTTACAGAGAGATGGAGAGACAAGAGACATGAGTGACAAGGGACTAGGAGGTCTTTTGGAACTACTGTAGAAGAACTTGGCATCACAAACCAAGCTGTGGGTTGGAGGTGGGGTGACTTGAGGACATGAACGCAACTTCTTTTAACATGAATCGACCGGGGGGGGGGGGGGGGGGGGGGGGGGGGGGGGGGGGGGGCTGACAAGGGTAATGAGACACTCTGTTACTCACTGTTTCAGATCGTGATGTCTGCTACCACCTCGGGGGCTGGAGTAGAGAGAGCACATCTCCGTTTAACACGAGTCACAAAGAGGAAGACTGCAGTGCCAATTACACCGTTATAACTAATAGGAACGTCTGTCCTTGAAAAGACAGGAGACTTTCTCCCACTATGCTAGCTACAGTCTCCTGCCATTTGAAACAACTCACATCATGTGAATATGGTAAATGACTTCACAAACTCTGCCACTATGAACATGTAGACAGAAGAACCAATAAGCATGTGTGCAAGTTGATGGACAAGCAGCCAAACCTATCCGCACATGTGTACATTTTGATGGACAGGGAAATAATTTGCTTATATCAGGCTGCAGCAGCAAAGTCCATGCTGGGTTACCTGATGACAGTGTTCCTTTCACGGTGGGCAATGTGGGCGTTGTCGGTGAAGAGGATGGTGTGGTAGGGCACCACCGGGTCACAGGTGGGAAGGATGCCCCGCGCCGCCTGGCTCACACTGTCCAAGATGCCATTATACACCAGGAGGTCATCCACTAGCAGCTACACAAGGTACACAAAGAAGGCTTACTGCAGGCATTAATTTATTACCCCTTATTTTAGCCCAGAAAGTTAAACAGAGAACAGATTCTTGTTTACAGCAATGTGTATATAGATATGTATAGTTGTGTATATAGATATGTATTGATGTGTATATAGATATGTATAGTTGTGTATATAGATATGTATTGATGTGTATATAGATATGTATAGATGTTGTGATGTCACGAGAGGCTGTGTCCTGGAGGGACGTTACATCCCCCTGAGGTGGCTGCAAACCCAGACAGCTATGGCTCCATCTGCTGGTATGGTCGGGAACTCCACCCCTCTATGGCCAATCTTCCCACGCAGCTGAAACAAATCAGGAGCTGAGGAGCTGAAGGTTTGGGAAGGGAAGACACACTGAGTGTGTGTGTGGGGGGTGAAGAAACACAGTCTCCAACCTGGGCTCTCTGGAGGACAAGAGTGCTGCACGTCCACTTCCAGGAGGAATATAAGGATTTGGAGACACTTACCTTTGGGGAAATACTCACCTGTGGATATATGCACCTGTGGAAATACGTGAGAGACATTTGGAAGGACTTTGTGCTGGGTTGGCCACTAGCTGCAACGTGGACTACAGTAAGGCTGGGGAAAAGTTATCTGAGCGAGTGAGAATTATGATGTTGGATGTGGAAGAGACATCCCTGAACTGTTAACCCTTAAAGAGCCACAAGAGAACAGACTTTTGTTATATTTTCGTTAATTTCCCAAGACCTATAATAAAATCCTTGGTTTGTTTGAACCTTGTCTCCTTGCACTACTTGAGCAACCCCGCTGAAAGCTGTGTAGCCTCTCGTGACGTCACAGATGGTGGAGAACACGGGCACTCAAGCGTTAATAGTGCATGTCAGAGGAGGATACCGAAGGTTTGATCACCCAGTTTTCCAAGTTGGCCGTAGGCTCCCCGCCGACTGAAATGGAGGACATATTGGAAGCCCTTGTTGCTGGCCAGCAAGCCCAGATGCAAGCAAACGTGGCTCTCTTGGAGGAGCAAAAGAAAGCCAACCTTCTGAAGGCAGAGGAATTGCAGTTGCAGAGACAGAGGGTTGTCCAAAATACCCGCCCAATAAAGGCAAGTGACTTTATATCTAAGATGGGAGCTACCGATGACATTGAGGCATACCTGCATGCATTTGAGGCCACGGCCACTAGGGAAGCCTGGCCCAAGCAACAGTGGGTTGGTCTGTTAGCCCCCTTTCTAACCGGGGAATCGCTGAATGCTGTCCGGGACCTGGGCCCTGACCAGGTTACTGACTATGATGCCCTGAAGGCTGAGATCCTCAGCAGATATGGACTCACAAAGTTTGGTATGGCCCAGCGCTTTCACAGCTGGACCTTCCAACCAGACCAACCTCCTCGGGCGCAGATGCATGAACTTGTCCGAATCGCAAGGAAATGGCTGGAACCGCAGAGGAATACAGCAGCGGCGGTGGTGGAGGCCGTTGTGGTGGATCGTTACCTACGCGCCCTGCCTTATGAGGCAAAACGGTTCATCAGTCAACAGGCCTTGACCACGGCTGATCTGACCGTGGAAGCTGTGGAAAAGTACCAGGCCACAGCGGAGATGCTGAATGCTTCCCGGAAAGACCCCAGGAGTGCGGCCCCACCACAAATGGGAAGAACCCGTCCAAAGGACCCCAAGGTCTCGAACCCAGCCACGTCAGGACTTATCCCGGCTCCAGGGGGAGCCAGAAACCAGGCGGGTCCAAGAAGAGTACACCAGGAGGGGGAAACTCGACAGTGTTACCGGTGTGGGGAGATGGGACATATCTCCTGGCAGTGTGGGAAACCAGCCGATGAACCTATGCCCACTGCGGAGTCCTCCAGCTCAGCACCCACACACCGTTTTGCCTCGCTCTTGGGAGTCGTAGATGGCGGCCCAGATCGACCCCCCCACCTGCCCGGTAACTGTGAATCACCATGATGTGGAGGCCTTACTGGATTCTGGTAGCCGGGCCACCCTGGTGCGTAAGGATTTGGTGGGCCCAACGTGTCTGACCCCGGGGAAAGTCCTCCCAGTTTCCTGTGTCCATGGGGACACCAGAGAATACCCCATTACTGAACTTACAATGACCAGCACACGGGGAACCATACACACGACGGCGGGGGTGGTTGATTCCCTCCCCGTCCCTGTCCTAATTGGACGAGACTGCCCAGCCTTTTACCCACTCTGGAGAGAGTCTCAGGAGAGGATAACCCGAGTACCTCGGAAACGGAGAGGCAAGACTCATCCTGGGAAGGCTCCGGTGCAATCCTCCGAGTTACTCACTCCCGCCCGGGCTCTGATAGGGATGGCAGGTGCCCAGACCGACACCGAGACCGGTCCGGATACGGGAGAAGAGAACGCAGCCCAGGAAAGTGCTCCGTTCTCCAGTGAAGAAGACGTCCCAGGCACCCAAGAGCTTCCCCCTCTCACAGGCCAGTATGGTACGGCTCAATTACAAGATCCTACTCTTGCAAATGCCTTAAGAAATGTGCAGGTATTAGAAGGTGTAGTGTTAGGTGATAAGACAAACCCTACTTACCCCCATTTCGCAGTAAACCGGGGGTTAGTATATCAGATAGTCAAGAAAAATGATGAAGTGCATGAACAGCTCCTCGTGCCACAGCCCTATCGGGCCACAGTACTCAACCTAGCCCACACACACCCGCTAGGGGCCCACTTGGGGGTAGAGAAGACTAAGGAAAGAATCATGCAACGTTTCTTTTGGCCAGGAGTACACAAAGAGATAGAGAACTACTGCCGTAGTTGCCCTGAGTGTCAGCAGGTTGCGCCAAAGCCCACATATAGAAACCCGCTCATTCCCTTGCCCATTATCGAAACTCCTTTTGAGAGGATTGGATTAGACATAGTCGGGCCCTTACCGAAAAGTTCCAGGGGACATCAATACATTCTGGTCATTCTGGACTATGCATCCCGGTACCCGGAGGCCATTCCGCTGAGGAAGGCTACATCCAGACAAATCGCCAAGGAGCTGTTCCGTCTCTCAACTAGTCTGGGAATCCCAAAAGAGATATTGACGGACCAAGGGACTCCATTCATGTCCAGGGTGATGAAAGAACTCTGTGCTTTACTGAAAATCAAACAGATGAGAACCTCGGTCTACCACCACCAGACAGATGGCCTAGTCGAACGTTTTAACAAAACACTAAAATCCATGCTGCGGAAAGCGGTAGGGGAAGATGGGCGCAACTGGGATCAGCTGTTACCATACATATTATTTGCGGTGAGAGAGGTACCTCAGTCTTCTACTGGTTTTTCACCCTTTGAGCTCTTGCTTTCCTACAGACCCAGAGGACTGCTCGACATCGCCAAGGAGGCCTGGGAGGAGCAGCCATGCCAACAGCGGACACTGATCGACCATGTCGGGGCTATGAGGGAGAGAATGAAGGCCATCTATCCCATGATGCGGGAACACCTGGAGGCCAGTCAGCGGCAACAGCAAGCCTCCTACAACAGATCTGCTCAACCCAGGGAGTTTAAGCCGGGGGACAGAGTGCTGGTCCTGGTGCCAACCGTTGAGTGTAAATTCCTGGCAACCTGGCAAGGACCATATGAGGTCATTGAACGCATGGGAGAAGTAAACTACAAGGTGAGGCAACCAGATAAAAGGAAAACTGAGCAGATTTATCATGTTAACCTTTTAAAGAAGTGGCACGCCAGAGAGGCGATGTTCAGCTGTCTACCCCCACAGAGACCAAGGAACCGGCGCGAGAAGAGGTTCAGCTGGGTCCAAATCTGTCCCCACATCAACGACAGATGGCCCTGGAACTCGTGGAGCAGAACCAGGATGTCTTCTCCTCCCTTCCCGGTCACACAGAGGTGGTCCAACATGAGATCCGCACCATGCCTGGCCGAACGGTAAACCAGCGCCCGTACCGCGTGCCAGAGGCTCGTAAAGTGGTTATACAGAAGGAGGTAAGGAAGATGCGGGAGTTGGGAGTAATCGAAGAGTCCCACAGTGCCTGGGCAAGTCCCATCGTACTAGTTCCCAAGCCAGACGGTTCAGTACGATTTTGTAATGACTATCGAAAGTTGAATGAAGTGTCTGAATTTGATGCATACCCAATGCCTCGTGTCGATGATTTAATAGACTCCTTGGGGCATGCTCGTTTCCTAACCACTCTTGATCTCACAAAAGGCTACTGGCAGGTGCCCCTGACCCCGGCGTCCAAGGAGAAGACAGCCTTTGCCACCCCGGAGGGGCTCTACCAGTATACCCGACTTCCGTTTGGTCTCCACGGGGCACCTGCCACGTTCCAACGCCTGATGGATCGAGTCCTTGCGCCCCACAAGAGGTACGCAGCGGCTTATTTGGATGATGTTGTTATACAAAGTCCGGATTGGGCCAGCCACATACCCCGGGTACAAGCGGTGCTGGATTCGCTCAGGGAAGCAGGGCTCACGGCAAACCCGAAGAAGTGCAAGCTGGCCTTCAGTGAGACAAACTACCTGGGGTACACCATTGGGCGGGGGTTGGTCAAACCACAGGAAGCCAAACTGCGGGCCATACAGGACTGGCCGCAGCCCATCACCAAGAAGCAAGTAAGGTCATTTTTGGGCCTCGCTGGCTACTATAGACGCTTTATTGCAGCTTTTGCTACCATAGCTGCACCGTTGACGGAGCTGACGACCAAACGCCACTCACGAATGGTGAAGTGGAACCCTGCGGCGGAGGCGGCTTTCCTCAACCTGAAGCGAGCACTCTGCTCCAGTCCGATCCTGGTGGCACCAGACTTCAAGAAGGAATTCATTGTCCAAGCGGATGCTTCGGAGGTGGGTCTGGGTGCTGTCCTCACCCAGGCACATGACGGTGAAGAACATCCCATTCTCTACCTAAGCAGGAAGTTACTTCCAAGAGAGAAGAACTATTCAACGGTGGAGAAAGAATGTCTGGCTGTAGTCTGGGCCCTGGAGTCCCTTCGGTTCTATCTCCTGGGCCGACGGTTCAGGGTGGTATCTGATCACGCCCCTCTGCAGTGGATGGCCAAGAACAAGGAATCAAACAGTAGAGTAACCAGGTGGTTTTTGAGCTTGCAACCGTTTAACTTTTCTGTTGCCCACAGGGCTGGCAAGCACCACGGCAATGCGGACGCCCTCTCCCGGCGTGATGCCTTCTTCGCTGCCTTTACCCCGACGAGGACGTCGGTCCCGAGGAGGGGGATGTGTGATGTCACGAGAGGCTGTGTCCTGGAGGGACGTTACATCCCCCTGAGGTGGCTGCAAACCCAGACAGCTATGGCTCCATCTGCTGGTATGGTCGGGAACTCCACCCCTCTATGGCCAATCTTCCCACGCAGCTGAAACAAATCAGGAGCTGAGGAGCTGAAGGTTTGGGAAGGGAAGACACACTGAGTGTGTGTGTGGGGGGTGAAGAAACACAGTCTCCAACCTGGGCTCTCTGGAGGACAAGAGTGCTGCACGTCCACTTCCAGGAGGAATATAAGGATTTGGAGACACTTACCTTTGGGGAAATACTCACCTGTGGATATATGCACCTGTGGAAATACGTGAGAGACATTTGGAAGGACTTTGTGCTGGGTTGGCCACTAGCTGCAACGTGGACTACAGTAAGGCTGGGGAAAAGTTATCTGAGCGAGTGAGAATTATGATGTTGGATGTGGAAGAGACATCCCTGACCTGTTAACCCTTAAAGAGCCACAAGAGAACAGACTTTTGTTATATTTTCGTTAATTTCCCAAGACCTATAATAAAATCCTTGGTTTGTTTGAACCTTGTCTCCTTGCACTACTTGAGCAACCCCGCTGAAAGCTGTGTAGCCTCTCGTGACGTCACAATGTGTATATAGATATGTATTGATGTGTATATAGATATGTATTGATGTGTATATAGATATGTATAGATGTGTATAAATGTGTATATAGATATGTATAGATGTGTATATAGATATGTATAGTGTAATTGTTGTTTATTGATGTTTGACAGGTCGTCATCGTAAATACGATTTTTTTCCTTAATTGACTTATCCGTGTAAGTAAAGGTGAAATAAAAATCTACAGAAGAGTTCATAGTAATAGTACTTTATTAGACCATTATAGTCTGAAATTATTCTTATTCTGCTTTGCTCCCGAGTCCTAAGATCTGGGTCTCTCTGATGAATATGGTCTGTGTTACTGTACTAAGGAGGAGAGAGAAGAGAAGACTGACTTACCCCAAACTCCTTTACCCCCCTCTGTGGTGTCTTGGAGTAGTTCCACAGTTTGATCATGGACACGGTCACTGGCTGGTCAAATATGAGATACACGCGATTCACCAGTCCGGGGAGCACCGGCGCTAGCCACATGTGTCTGCCATCATGAGTGTTGTTCACTCCATCTACCAGCTTATCTGGAGTCCTTACATCACCGTTCACACTGTCCAGGACATTCACACTGTCTGGGAACGCAGCGATATCTAGGAGAAGCACTGTTAAAGAATGGACTCAAACTGTGTTGACTACCATGTCATTACTCCTGCCATTTCCATTTCCTCCACTAGAAGCCACCCTTTTACTATTTCAGGGTACATTTATAGTTTGGGATTTCACTAAACTTGGTCCATGGAAGGTACAAGAGGTTCCCACTATATGAACAAGCTGCAAAATTGGCTATATCGAAATTTCGTAAAAATGTATATGAAAAAAAAAACTAGTGTGGTTAGGGTTAAGTTTAAAAACAGATTTTAAGAACAGAAATTGTAGAACTAGGTGGGGCTTCCGACTTTGCAACTTGGCCAGATAGTGACGACCGGTACAGGGAGAGCAGGCTTTCGTTCCACACCAGCACTAAACACACCTGATTCAACTAATCAGCACACCCTTGATTGACTGAATAATGTGTTTTAATGCTGGAATAAAACGAAAGCCTGTACACCCTGTGGATTTCCAGGACCAGGGTTGATGACCAGTCTTAGGCCAGACTCGAAGTCTCACGCTAGCTAGCTCAGCCAGTCAGGTCAAGTGAGACTAGTGACCACTGGGTGTAAGTGTAGATTGCAGCAGTGGTGGTTCTCAGTGTGTGTGTGTGTGTGTGTGTGTGTGTGTGTGTGTGTGGTGTTAACATTGTAGGTAGGATACTGTTGTCACTGAGGAGTATCTTCTCGTTGTTTTGGTCATAGAACTCCAGGCCGTTCATGCCGATGTAGTAGGGGTCACCCCAGGTGGTCAGCAGCTGCAGCTGGAAGATGACTGGTGGGTCAAGGGTTAAGGAAGAGACGTGGAGCCGTGTACACACTCAGTACTTTTACAGTCATCAAGTAATTTAGTGATCACAGTATCCCAAGTAGGCGAAACTGGTTGTAATGACATTGAATATGTACAGTATATCTTCTATGAAAGGTATAATATATACTGTATATTGTCAATTCTATCCACTAAAAGGTGAAATATTTTGTTTGTAAATGTTATCCACTGGTCGCAGTATTGCTGTATGTCTATGTAAGGTGACATGTTACGTTAGTAAAGGCATACTGTAGACCAGGGTTCCCCAAATGGCAGCCAGCGGGCCAAATCTGTGTGATTTCTGAAGATATTTTGTATTTGTATAAAATATTCGTTGTTGGACATAAAAGACTATACAATCACCAGTAAATCAGCTCAAAGTGATTTTAATTTAGAAAATCTGTTCCCAAGTATTCTCAGCATTAATAGAGAGACATATGTGATCTTATCCCAATGTAATCAGCGTTTGATATTGATTATGTTTTTGTCAAATACTATATCTGTTTGGGCTTCTTGTGTACAAATTATTTATAATTATGGACCCCCGACCATCTGCTTAAGAAAAAAATCGTCCCGTGGCTGAATGTAGTTGGGGATCCCTGCTGTAGGCCTTATATTCTGTGGGACTATGTCTTGTGAGCAGCAGGAGGAAGGATACATCCACAAGGCATGATGGGGGCCTCGTAGTCCATGCTGGCTTGCTCCTGTCTTCTGGAGCCAGCCCTGAAAACCACACAAGGCACAAACCTTAAAATGACATCTCATATTGTATTGCATTACAGTAGTAGAGTATATGAATTATCATATGAATGATTAATTTGATACATGACTAGGTGTTTGGCACAGTGGGGATAATAGATAGAATGCTATTTTACGAGACACTAAAACAGTTTGATGCATCACAACAGAGACATTACATTAAACACCTTCCTACTGGGAGGTGGCCTACAATTAGCCTGGTCCCAGATCTGTTTGTGCCGTCTTGCCAACTCGTATGGTCATTAGTAAGACGGCACAAACCGGACTAGCCTAGAAGTAAGTAGTCACTTGAGTGTGTAGGCCGAGTCCTCTGCTGTCCTCTTGCTGTTGACCAGGCCTGTGGTGGGGGTCTGGAGGAAGTCAATGAAGAGGATCTCCTGAGCAAAGTCAAAGTGACAGTTCCCTGGTCCCTTCCTGATGAGGAAGCCCTCTGCTGGAGAGATGAGCGTATCGTCCAGAGACACATGGATCACCTTCACCTGGAGAACACAGGAATAGGGATAATAAGAGGTGGGTATCTTAAGAAATGTGTATTATGGTTAGAATTGTGTTTTTGTGAGGAATAGGCATTCACCCCTTAAAAAACATTTTTCTCAGTCAATATTCAGATATCTTTAAGGATCTATGGCAGAGTGTAAAGCACCCTTATGGGGCATCGTATAGATTTGTACAACTACATTGCACTGCACCTTTAATGACAAGACTCACAAATACAAAAGCAACCTACAGGGCCCAGATATTTCTATTTGAATTTACACTTCCACCAGGCTACTAAAGCCAGTTCTCCATCCCAGTGACTCTCTCTCTCACCCCTCTGTAGGAGTCCTCTGGGGTCTTGTTGTAGTTCCAGATGCGGAGGCCAGCCACCGTCTGGGCCTTGTCAAAGTTCACCATCAGGGTGTGGTGCTGGCCAAAGGAGAATGGAATCAGCCACATGTGCTGGTCCTCAGTGGTGATGTTGTGGCCGTTAATGAGTCTGGACAGAGGAGAGAGAGACACCACACTGGTCATTCAGGAGTATGTTGGAAATGAAAACGTACAGTTATGAATATAACTACTGTTCCCTGAAGGAGGGAATGAGGTATAACATACTATAGGGGGAGTCAATGACCAATCATATTCACCTGAAGAAAACTGAAATAATGCTCAATGGGCCAATGGATGCAGAGCCAGCCCTCGGAAGCCCCGCCTTCCTGGCTATAATACCGGGGCTTGCATTCATTTCCTCAAATCAGTACCACTCTTCAGCGAGCCCAATACCCCTGACTACGCAGGCCAAAATATGTTATACCTCGTTCCTTTCTTCAGGGAACAGTAGTTATATTCATAACTGTACGTTCCCTTTCAGTCGGTCACTCGGTCTAACATACTATGGGGACATACAATCCCGCCCCAAACCAGCTCAGAGGGTACCAAAATAGAATGCACACAGCAGTCCAAGCACACAGGTTTAACCGGCTCCAAAAAGGGGTTACAGAAGCCACCTTTTTCCCTAATACTTATCCGAGAAGCCTGAATTGTCAGAGCCTCATGAGGCCTGAACTGTCAAAGCCCTATATAGGGAACCATAACCTGCTTTAACCTGGCTATGCGCACTGACACGCTGCCACAGAAGCCCAAGTCCATAGACCCCACGGTTCCAAGAACAATACTTATGGCTAAAAGTATGTGGACACCTGCTCGTCGAACATCTCATTTCAAAATCATTGGCATTAATATGGAGTTGGTCCCCCCTTTGCTGCTATAACAGCCTCCACTCTTCTGGGAAGGCTTTCCACTAGATGGTGGAACATTGCTGCGGGGACTTGCTTCCATTCAGCCACAAGAGCATTAGTGAGGTCGAGCACTGATGTTGGGCGATTAGGCCTGGCTCGCAGTCAGCGTTCCAATTCATCCCAAAGGTGTTCGATGGGGTTGAGGTGGAGGCTCTGTGCAGGCCAGTCAAGTTTATCCACACCATAGCGTTAAGATTTCCCTTCACTGGAACTAAGGGGCCTAGGCCGAACCATGAAAAACCGCCCCAGACCATTATTCTCGATTTTATACACCTGTCAGCTACGGGTGTGGCTGAAATAGCCAAATCCACTAATTTGAAGGGGTGTCCATATACTTTTGGCCATGTAGTGTACCTTGTGAGCCTGAAATGTCAAGGAACCGCAAGTCCAAAAAAACAGAACACCTGTCATGACTTGTAAAGCGCACATATGCGCTGCATAGCATTGACGAGAGTCGATGTACCACGGCAGCCCAAGGCTCAAACCCACAGGGAACTGTGGTAACCTGGATAAATGCGCAACCTGTGCGCTGCCTAACACCCACTCCCGGACCCAACCATAAGAATACTATGAGCCACACTGGGAGCAGTTACATCCAAGCGATAAAACCTCACAAAGGTATGTGGTGAACCCCAACTTGCTGCAGCACAGATATCACAAATCATCATGCCCCTGAACAATGCCCAAGAAGCCGCCACACCCCTAGCGGAGTGAGCACACACCTGGGAGATAGCCTCCACAATCCAATGAGAAAGGCGCTGCTTAGAAAGCGCCCTACCCCGAGTTGGATTAGCGAAACAAACAAAAAGCTGGTCACACAAATGCAGATATCCTTGGCCCTATCCATATACGTGCGTAAAGTGCGCACCGGACACAGGCCATGCAACCTCCATTGTTCACTGGAAGCAAATGGAGGAGGTGAGAAAGGGAACAGCTCAAAAGCCAGAGACCTGTAAGACATAGGCATAACCTTGGGGGAAAACAGGAAGGGTGTAATGATAGCGCGTGGAGTCTTGTAGGAAAGGATCTTCAGGTCCACAGACTCCAATGGTTCAAATGGGAGGCTCAAACAGAGCGTCCAGAACCAAAGCCAGGTCGCAGGTCGGTACCATAGGCTTAGACAATGGTCTGGACGCCCCTCCTGACGGACCCTCTCCATGGTGGCCTGAATCAGGTCCACCGGAGGAAACGCATAGAGCAGGGTACGAGGCCACTGATACGCCAAAGCACCCGTTCCCAACGTAGCGCCCAGATCCCTCATTGAGAAGAACAGGCAACAATGCACATTTTCTCAAGAAGCGTAAAGATCTACGTCGGCCCTGCCGAACCGGTCCCATATCTGGGCAAACACCAAGGGGTGCAGTCTCCACTCCGTAGAGATAGGACTCCCCCAACCCCCCCCTGGAAAGTAGATCCGCACCCACGCTGAGAGATCCGGTAAGATACGTCGCCCTGAGCAACAGGAAATGCACACTGCTCCATACGAGCAGATATCGGGCCAGGGTTAGGAGAGAGAGACACCGCGTCCCACCCTGCCTGTTGATGTACGCCACCTCCGTCCTGTTGTTGGACCTTACCAACGCATGATGGACCTCCAACATTCGGTCAGTAGCTCTAGGTAATTGATATGCAGCGCCCTTTGCGCTGTTGACCAAATCCCTATTTCCGCATCTGTTGTGATCTGTTGTGATCACCCTGTGGGACACTACCCGGCCCATGAGAACCCGCTGCAACAGCAGTCGCGGGTCCCTCCAAGGAGTCAACGCCCTTAGGCAGAACAGAGATACCTTGAGCAACCGATGGCAGCGGCGAGATGGGTCCAGACGCATAGCAATCACCCAGAGCTGAAACGAGACGCATAAACAGAAGTCCCAGAGGCACCACAGCTATCACAGAGGAACCATGCCAGACAGAGCCGGAATGCAACATTTTTACATTTTAAATTTTAGTCATTTAGCAGACGCTCTTATCCCGAGCGACTTACAGTTAGTGAGTGCATACATTATATTTTTTCATACTGGCCCCACCGTGGGAATCGAACCCACAACCCTGGCGTTGCAAACGCCATGCTCTACCAACATCCCCTGCCGGCCATTCCCTCCCCTACCCTGGACAACGCTGGGCCAATTGTGCCCCGCCCCATGGGTCTCCCGGTCACGGCCGGCTACGACAGAGCCTGGATTCAAACCAGGATCTCTAGTGGCACAGCTAGCACTGCGATGCAGTGCCTTAGACCACTGCGCCACTTGGATGGGACAAAAATGCATTATTCAGAACCGAGTCCAGAACGAGACCCAAAAACTGAATGCGCTGAGCAGGAGTCAAACAAATGTTCTTGTGATACACTATGAACCCGAGAGACTGATTATGGGAAGCCAGCATGGCAGTTTGGAGCTCCACCTGTTCCCTCGACTCCGCTATGACCAGCCAATCATCCAGATAGGCCTATACTCTGATCCACTGGCACCCTTGAAATGAAACCTCAGAAGCTTTCTGTGGGAGGATGTGTAGCCACATGAAAATACGCATCCTTCAGATCTATGGAAGTGAACCAATCGCTGGGATGCACCAACTGCAATAGCCAGTGAAGTGTGAGCATTTTGAACTTGCGAACCTTGAGGTGCTTGTTTAAAACACGTAAGTCTAGGATGGGACGCAATGTTCCATCTCTCTTGGAAACTAAGAAGTACCGGCTGTACCAACCGCTCTGTACTTCTGACAAGGGGACCACCCGAATAGCCTGCTTCTAAAGGAGGGAGGAAATCTCCTCTCTCAAGACAGGCGCTAGGACCTCTGGGACCATTGACGTAATGATTCCACGAAAAGGAGGATGCACAGCGAACTGCAGACCGTACCCCTTCGTCACCTTCCTCATCACCCATGGTGAAACTGTGCATGCCCGCCACTGGACAGAGCACACTGACAGTCTCCCATACATTATCTCCTGAAGGGGCAGAGCGCCACCCTGAGGACTGGGATAATTGTATTGTTTTGTTGTCATGTTTTTTTCATATCCACCACTCTTGACAACCGTGTATCTGAAAGTGGGGAAGGAACTTTGTTTATTATGCCCACACCTGGACGATACTGCACTCTCAATACCCCTGAACACTGAGAAACCTGGGGTAAAAACAATGTGCTTTCATGGTATCGGCGTTCTGATACCTGGCCCACACCGGGTTCAGGGACTTTGGCACCCTGTAACTTTCCCCCATTGACCGAGCCACATGGGAGCACTGTTGCCACAGTAAATGCTTGGGAGAAGACAGCCAATCCACCCCCAGGTGATCTGTCGCCCTACGACACAGCTCCATCAAAGGCGCATTAACCACCACTAATTCCAAAACCGGGGCTTTAGGCTGCCCCGGACTGATGTCATCCGATTCACACTCTGAAAACCCTCGAGAGCCAACCGGGGATAGTATATCATCCCCGGAATCTGAACACTGCCAGAGAAACCGGAATGAGCCTCACTCGGCTGGGATGACACCCCTATCAACTCCGACCACAGCTGCTGCTCTCTCCCGGCCTCAGTCAATCCCATTCCTGAGGTCACTTCACCGGAAGACCCTTCACTAGCAGCCCCAATCTTTCTCACAAAGTCAGCACGAGGCCCAATGGAAATTGAACCCCCGCCGGAGACAATGATCCCACGAACTGGTCAAAGCCTCCTGAGCTTGTTTCCACCCCAGGCAAACAGGACAGCACTCGTGAGTATCTTTAATTTTCATTGTGAAACCACATGCCCTAGAGCACGGTTGGAGGTTCAAACTCATCTGGTTAGCCTTTTTGAACTTACTTTTACCACTGGCCATCTTACTCAAGCAAGGAAGCACTGGCTACACAAGCAGGGCAGAAAGTAGTGAGTTTTTAGCTAACACAAAAACCGATACCAAGACCAAACTTGCAACATCTAGTGGGGAGAGGGTACACCTAAGTCGGAGCCAAATCTCGTAGTCTTTGTGTGCTTGAAAAGTTTGCAAATTGCGTGGCACGTTCTTCCTTCAGGCGAGTGGAAGAGCGAAGAATTGATTAAATGAATGCGAGCCCGGTATTATAGCCAGGAAAGTGGGGCTTGCAAGGGCGGGCTCGGCATCCATTGGGCATGATTTAACTTTCTTCAGGTGAATATGATTGGTCGTTGACTCCCCCCATAGTACA